CACCCAAAGTCACTGCAACTCAAAAGTCACAGTGATGCTGAACAAGCCGATACCAATGCTCAGGCTGACGATTGTATTCTCAGTCTTGCCGGACACTCAATTGATTGGTGGTTTTATTCTATATTTCTACACCAAGTTGCTGAGTGGATCTTCTTCTCTTCCGCCTTTCCCCTTTCACCAGCTTGCCACTGTTTCGCAAGTGTTTGGAGTGTGGCGCTCAAGCTTTCTCGAATCAGTCACACAGTCACAGTCACAGATCTTTTGACTCACTCAAGTTTGACTCGAGTTCAAGTTTGACGTGTGACACTTGACCTTTCCGAACTCCTATGAAGTCTGGACAACAGTCTCTGGGTATTTTGGCCCTACCCAATGAACTAATCCTACAAATCGTCTCTCTTACTCCTGGTGCCACCACTAAAGCTTCACTTTGTCAGGTTTGCCGTAAGCTCTTCAAGCTGTTGCATGCTTCTGAGCTCTACCGGATTATCATCAGCAAAGGCAGCTTGGCGCCTGGACTCTGTCTCGCTCTCACTTCAGAACCTGAGCGTGCAACTTCGGTCAAGGATTTGTCGATGACAGCTTCACTGGCAGTGCAAGGCATAACGTGAGTCCCTTCATTAGCTATTATCTGGCTGATTTCTGAAACCTACAACCGCCCAAGTACTTCACACAACCTAGCTCTATTGCCTTCTTTGACAGAACTGGTCCGGCTCGAGTTCCCAATCTGGGCTGCAACAATACCAGGCTTCGAGGGCTGGACCTTCCCTCATCTGCAAATCCTGAAGGTTTGCAAAATCTATAGTCCAGCTCCGGCCACTGTAGCCCTGGAATGCTTTCTCAATCGACATCCAACTCTTACCGATGTGGATTTGGGAACTGGAGCCAGAACCTTTAGGTCGAGCATTGCTCTTCCCAATCTCAATGTGGTTCAAGCAGTGGGATGGACTAAGTTTCTTGAATTTCTACAGCCGACGAACCAACCATTATCCAACCATATCCGACTAGCGCTCGTTGAAGAGTTGGGTCCCATCTTGATATGTCATCCTACATGCTGAAGGCTACTCTTAACTGTACCTCATGGGCTGGCCTCGTCGGAGCAAAAGATTCGTGCTCTTTTCTGGGTGGTCCTGGATCATCTGCCAGGGCTCAAGTCCTTCGGACTAATCTTGATGCACTTCGACAAAAGAAGTATCCTACTAAAGGTTGGTGCATCAACTCGGTTTGCAATCGGAAGCTCACCGTTTGTCCTCAGGAAATCAGTTCAATTCTGGCGATAGAACTTCCCAACTTCACGCACCTTCAGGCCTTTGGCTTCATATCATCTTTGTTCAATGATGAGGCCAAGCAGGATAATATGATGGATCTTTGCGCTGCTTGTTGCCCGACTCTACAAGAGGGCTTTTTCCTATGTGAGTACACCATTTTTCTCTTGGTTTTTGCTCTCATCTGTCTCGATATGCAGAGTCTGTAACGATCCCAACCAGGGGCAGATATGTTGTGAACGAAGACAAGCGAAAGCCGGTGGTATTGTCCTGGATTGAATGGGTCTTCTGGGCAGATTCCTGGATGACAATACCTTTTTCCAAGTACTAGTACTAGTCGTATCAGTAACTTGCTATTCTCACTCCAAAAGATGGCGCCGTACCCTCCTAAATTTTCATTCCTTCTATTAAATGTATCAAAATGCAAATATACCACCAATTATGAAGTGCACCAAGGCAGATGACATCAGCACGTGGACTGGTCTATCTTCAGAAGAGCTCGCGCGCCGAGGCCCATATTTGGCGATACTTGCGGGGGGCGGTGCAAAAAAGTCGGGCCCGCCAACAATTATGTAAATGGCAATAACGATGCTTCAACAGCTCAGAATGTGGTGTAAGTTCTATTTCATCTCATCTGGACAAGCTGAACACAGAAGAACCCAGAATCAAAGGGGCGGAGCACACTGGGCATAGATAAAACTCCCTACCAGTGTCTTGGGCCTTGAAAGCAATGTCGATGCAGCTTTGGCCACCATCAGTGACATATTGTACGACCAAGTTTCTGCATACCTTAGACAAAACAAGTGCCCACACAATGTCGCAACCGGTTTATCCATTAGACAATGGTTGACCTGGCAGATGCTACACCTTCCCGGCTCGACTATTGATTTGGTTGATTCATTTGTCCGACTCTTCTGCTCTTCGAAAGGATCAAATGAGACTTGAAATGTTGAGACAATGTAATAACTTACTCGATTCAGAATCTTCCATTGGACGTGAATTGGTATTTTTCTGACAAGACATCTTTTCTGAATCGACTATGGGCGTGAAGACTCTGAATCTGAGTCGAGTGACTGAATTCTCGAGTCACATGCATGTGATGCTCCCAATTGTTCCATTCGTCTCAATAAATGGCCTCATACTCTATCTCCACTCCATCCTTAGCCTTGCCCTCTAATCTTGTGCCAGACACATTGCTGAACCTAGAGCTCAACTCTGACCACCAGGAGGGAATTTCACATTGTCATTCAACATATTCGACACGCAAGGTCATCCATCGACTGGCGAAGAGTACAAAACTTCCTGCAGAACAAGCGGGACCTGTGTCAGCCTAACCTGATATTGGTGGTACTCCATCCAACTTCGAAGGGATCAAATCATGCTCGATCTAGTCGTCTTTTACAACGACTCATTTGGTTTCATTGAGGAAGACTTGCTATTGGAAAGGGTAGAAAAGCTAGCTGAGTGGTTCCAAACCCCACCATAGATTTTCTCAAAGTTGATCCATTTCTTTTGTACCAAGCGCCATGTAGTACATACTATTATCCGACAGATATATTGGTCGCAGCAGCTCCAGGACATTTTCGGGCAGTGGGAGCGGCAGCTACAGTGATTTGCGAGACGAAAGCTCTGACAAGGAGAATGCCAGTGAATATACCGGAAGCTACACTTATTCAAGCTGAAGCTACTCAGATGACAGTGGCAGTCGTACTCCAGGATCCAATGAGACTGGCTATGATGTCTGTCCCTCTTCTGATATCTCAGAGCTTACGCCTTGAAGCACTCTGACACCGCCATCATCATCATCGGTCGACTCTTCACGCGGTGACGCTTCCGAAAACTTCATCATGCCGTCGCAAGGAAGTTCAGACTATTTGTCGGCAAAAGCAGCTTCTTCGGTCGATTCCTTTGAATCCTTCCCCACTATTCCGTCACTTTATAGCAGTGCTGAAGAAGGCTCTGGTCCTTACCGAACTGCTTCCGAACCGTTGACAGAATATACGACCATCGAAGTCTGTCCTTCCGAAAAGTCGACAGAATATATGACCGTGGAAGTCTGTCCTTCTGAGCCAGAAGAGATACCTGACGAGATTCCTTCCGCTCAGAGTACCCCAAAACAAAGGTCTCGTTCAGAGTTGGAATCAGAAGAGAGGAGTTTGTCAGACGAGAAGAGTGTGTCGGAAGAGAAGAGCTTGTCAGACGAGAAGAGTTTGCCAGAAGAGAAGAGTTTGCCCTCACTTCCAGTCTCGATTTCATCGCTGTCGACTGTCTCAGATGTTTTACCTGAGAATATTCCTCTTCCACCTTCGGTACCAGGGTCTATATCCATCTCTTCAGAACCGTCTTTGCTCTCCAGTCTCCAGATGAGCAAGACATCACCGGTGGATATACCGACACCTTCATCGATTTGTTTCTCCACTTCAGAGATTAGCTCCAGTCTTCCTTCCAGCTCGAGTTCGAGTTTTCCATCGAGTGTCTCTCCGGAAGTTCTGCCTACAATCAGTCAGGCCACCGTCACTTCGGTGACGATATCAACGGAGACGAGCCTGGAGCCATCAATGAGAACTCCGTCGTTTGAGCTTGAAGTCCCTTCTCAGCCATGGGCTAGAGAAACAAACTTGTGTCTTATGATTCGTCGCTGCTCGAACCATCGCCTTCGATGATGTCTATGGCCTTACCGGATGGACCAGACAATTCCTTCGAAACCTCATTTTTGAGACCGAGTGCATCTACTTCGTCTCCCAACAGGATGTCCACTATTCCCGAGTCAGCTTCAGTGATGACTTCTGCAAGGCCGAGAAGCTATCCTTCACTTTATCCAGTCCCACCGCCTGCGTTTTCCACCTCTACCGCTTCAGTTCTTCCACCACCGTCCAGTGTATCTTTCAGTTCATTGTCTTCTAGCTTGGTCAGGACACCGTCAAGTGTTTCGAGCAGCTCGATGGTCTCGCAATCATCAATTAGTTTGTCGGTCCTGGATTCTCGTTCAGTGATACAAGCCATGGCAGCCTGAGATTGGTTCTACGGAAACATCGCTTATGGAAACATCGCTTACAGAAACATCGCTTCTTATGACGCCTTGATCTTCCGGACCGAGTGTAAGCCCTATTTTGGTTTGATATTTTTTACGCTGATTCATTTTCCTAGTCTCTTGTCTCTGAACCGCAGCCGGCAGCTTCTCTGAAGACCCCGACAGATATCTCTCTCTCAGCGTCAGTCTCTCCAGTCCCCGTGGTGATACACCTTCTATCCATTCGAATCTCCGGACCGCCACCAGCGCCAGTTCAAGCTCGGGAAGGCTTTCACCTCAACGAGATTGTGACATTGCTGATGATCTTCATCGTCTGAGCGAAGCATTGCACCATTACGACGACAATAGAGACTGGAGAACCGAGATATCGGGGACACATTGAGGTCGTTGCAAGATGAGCTTGGTCAACTTGCAGACCTGATTCGACAAAGGACACCAACAGTTGAACGTCCGGAAGATCGAGCCCATCATGATCAGCGTGTCGGAGGGAGCAGCGTCTTGAGCTATCATGAAGGGCCAGATTGGCAGCCACCTGTTTCTAGCTTGAGTCGTTCGGCGACCAGCGTATCTTTCCTCTCGCAGTAATAATAATACCTGGATAATGCTGATAATTGTTGTCTATTAGAAAATACATATCCTTTCAAAGCAAATGTGCAGACACAAGCTATTGAAAAATCGCCCAATTTGTGCTGCAAAAAAGTGCAAAATGGCAACACCATGATTTGAACACGGGACCTACAGATTAACTATACTTCAGGAAGCTTCAGTCTGCCGCTCTCGCCAACTAAGCTATGCCGCCATAATCAGTGCACACAGCTGAACCGCCAACTCCACACATGATCGAAAGAGTTGAATCCAGCACTCTTGAGCCAGGTCTTGAAGTCAAGCTCCATTTCAAGTATGTACAAAAGCCTGAAGTGATTAAATATGTTGCGCCATAGTTTTTCCCTTGAGTTCAAGGCGCCAAAATTTGCATTGCCGTTAGTAATATTGTTAGGCGAAGAAGTCTCAGGGACCGAATCCCAAAATGACTCAAGTTTTGACTATTTGCAACCTCTGATTCTGCCCACAACAACGCTCATTCCATGGCGGAAAAACGAAACAAATGGTTCATGTGAGAACTCAAACTATTAAACACTCAATTCCGAGTCTCGATCTATTCCACTCGATGTCGAGAGGCGATGGAGCAGCTAGAGCGTAGTAGAATGGTAAGGGATACGAAATTGAAAGACTAAGGAATACAATATTCTAACTACAGTTTAAATACTAGTAAACATGCGACTACTGTTCGTTTTCCACAATGCAAAACATCCTACAACCATGCTTTTTAGCAACCTGTTCCCATGCCTTCTTTACTAAGTGCCTTCGGGTTTCCACGCCTGTTTCCTGTTTCACTACAATGCGCTAGTTGTCTGTTTGCCATGTATTGTCGTGTCCAAATGCCTTGAGGCTTTAATCTCCACGCCTCATGTTGTCCTATGACCTTTGTGCTGGATCAAGCATGTCGTGCTTCTATCTCTTATCTTATCATCACATGTCCTCTCGTGATTCTATCAATCTAAATCCTCGCTATCTTGACATACGTCACTCGTTGCTGCTTTATGAACTAAGTCCAACAACGTTGGTAGTTTTGCTGACGTTTGAGCGATGACAAGAACCTCGGGTTCTGACAGTTCAAGTTCGGCAAATATAAAAAAGTGAGCACTCGGCACGATTTCGCACCACAGATTTGTCATCCAGCGGTTTCAGGCACCCTCAAGCGAGCCAGAACCAGAACTTGCCAACTCCGAAGTAGATCAAGACAGCCCGGTAATGATTTGACACTGATACCAGAGCTTTAAATCTGAATCCACCCTTCCAGTCACATCTTATTAAGGACAATGGCATTTTTTTGAGGGATCCAGACGTATCAAAAGCTAGCCCAATTGTGAGTTCTCCCTATAGTCTGCAGCCAAGACATTAATTTTGGTTGCACCCAGCCCTACGATCCCAAAAGTCTCACATCTGAGATTTCTCAGCGAGCCAAAGAGGATCTACAGAAGCTCCAGCAAGCACTGCTGAAAGAGCTGGACAACACCCCAGTGTCGCAACCTGTTTATAGTCCACCAGATTTCCAGGACAGCCACGGCACCTTCTTCAGTCCATGGGAACAGAGTGTCGTCAATGCACAAGACAGACTTAGGGACAACCTGAGCAGTTATCACCAGCGTGATACCAACGACACTGTCGACATCCCTGAAAACATCTCGATTCACGAGGGTCACATCCTTACAGGGTTCTCTCAATTCGAGATCAGTCTTCAGCAAAGTGACGCTCAATCTAGGGCCAGTCTCGTGCAAGACATCGGCTCATCATACATGTCCGAGCCCTCCTGGTCGACAGTCTTGGCCAAACTCCTTGAGACTCGAGACTTACTTTTGCCGGTCAAAGAAGATCCTGTCAGCATCGGAAAGGAGCCAGCGGCGTCAAAACCATCAGTGGAATTGGCCACCGAAGAAGAGCACCACCAATTCAATGGTGAAATACACCTCACCTCCATGCTTCAGTCAGCTGGTTACATTAAACATGGCCCCAGAGCTCCAGAGCAAGGAGCAACCAAACCTCTGAAAAACATTCTAACGGAAAACAGTCGCATGGCAAGATACTTTGCCCTTGGCTTTACTCGCAAACACAAGAATGTTACAATCGGATTTGGCTCCATCATACAACATCCTCTCAAAAAAATCCCGCTGTTCGCAGTGTACACCTCCTCCAACCCAGATAATCCATGGGTTCAACAGTCTACTCACATTCAAGGCGACGAACCTCCTTCAGGTGACTATGGTCGTTACATGAATAGGGTTTTCGTGTCACAGCCTCGTCGACGTGATGAGAAGAAACAGTGGGAAGCAGAGAGCATCATCGCTCGCGACTTCGTCCCTACAGTCACCATTTGCGAAGGCCATGTCAAGGTCGTCAACCATCCAGTTCATACAAAGGAACCAAACTCAGGCTCATCCAGCAATCTTGCCGCCGCTTCGAGCATGGATCGTTTGGAGAAACATGTTACAGAAACGTCGAGAAAAGGGGCAAAAACTGGAAAGGTGGCCTCGGTCAGGCCTCCCTTGACCAGTGTATCTCGGTCCTACAAAACTGCTCCAACGAAGGTGGTGACTGGAGTGGGTCTGGAAGATAATAAACACGGCAAGCCTCAATGGTTCAATAATCCAGCTCGATGGCCATTGTAAGTTGGATCTGCTTTACCATTTATCCTCATTGAAATTTTTCAGCCTCTTGGACCACCAATTCTTCGATCTCGTGGCTTTCCGAGTAAATAGGGTCTTAGAAGCCGCTCCCGACAAGTCTCCATCCCACGTGAAGTTGATGGCCTACGCCATGGACGTGGATTATCTCCAATTCTATGCGACAGGAAACAAAATGCTGGAGAAGCTGGAGGCCAACGGTCACCGATACGTGGCCATGAATCTGAAGTACTGTAAAATCGGATTCGCTCCTCACCAAAACAATGTAAGCCCCAATATCTTGCCTGTTTCGAAGCTAATAACACTCCTATTACAGTTCAAATCAGCCACAGACCAAGCTTTCGGCCGGCTTCTCCAGGATTTTTTCGCCCAATATCCGGCGACGATAGCATCTCTCAAAGCGCTGCAAGCGCATCCAGCTCTAGCCGAATACTGGTCCAAGACCGACATTCTTCCATACCTGCCCCTCGTTTCAGAAGCTTTCCCCAGTTCTCGATGTGGGCAGCGCGAACCGATGTCAACCTTTTCTTTCGAACTCCCAGTTGAAACTGCAGCTGTCTTGGACCTATGTGATAGGATAGAGAAGGCAGCGAAAGCATATGGTCATCAAAGCACGCCAGTGGAAAAAGAAGAATTCAAAAGACTATCTAGAAAGATCTACACCGACGAAATCTCGGTGATCTTCAACGATATTTTCCAATGGCTGCTTTGCCTAATGTGGATTACAACGCTGCTAGCACAGCCCCTTGCTGCTCGATATGATCCAGATTCCCCAGATTCCCTTGTCACCGAGGATCACCTGCATCTCAACTTTATCACCGCTTTGAAAGCGTACGAGCTGGCCTCTCAAATGTTCAAATCGCATTTGATGGAGTGCTTTATCAATGACCAGTCTTCGATCATTGGATCTTTGACAGAGTTGGTCACGATGCAGATGAAAGAGAAGAAGGCGTCGGCGAAGCACAAGAGCAAACTCGAACAAAAACTCGACACTGCCATAGTCAACATAAACAAAATTAGGACAGAACTGGTTCAGGATGGCCTCAGCGGCAACAGCAGCAGCTTATATGCTCAGAATCCGGACCTGATGCAGACTTTGCTCTCTCCGACCTTCACCCAATATCTCGAGAAGCTCACATCGGAGGGGGAGCAGCTTACAGGGACCCTCATAACCCTTGGATCCATCCCTTTCAGACCGCCTTCACATCACGAATCTGCAGATGCCCGCTGGCGAAAATCACACTTTACTGCTGGATCCCTCATGTACTATGGGTATTTACAATATCCCACCGGTTTTCAACCGACTCACCTGGTCCTGAACCATTTGATCAAGTCTAGCCAAAAATCGCAGCCCAATTTTGAGCTTGGATTCTTCGTCCTGGAGCAACCCTGGGACTGTGGGAAAATGGAGGGGCCTGCAGAAGTAATCGGCAGGTTGTGTTCAGACATCATCTCATCTCAAGTTACGACAGTGAAGAATTCGATGAAGGTTTCAGATGACATAGAGAAGGTGAAGTCGGGAGAGCTGAAGGCCATGAAAGCGGACAAGCAGGAACAACAACAGTTCTGGCTGCGATTGGCGACCGTGTACAACTCCACGAAGGAGGACGTGTTCAGTTCACCCCACTACCGCATCTTTCCTGGATCCTCTCATGCCGAGGCTTTGGTCCTTCTCACTGCCATTTTGCAAGGTATTTATCACCCTGTTCCCTGGCAGACGAAAGATTGGGATTGGTTGGAGTCGAAAAGAAAGGACTCAGACCCTAACAACTTCCTACATTATAGTGCCTTCGAAGATGGGCTTGGTGTTTCACGCCTCTGTTGCCCACTGTGTACCGAGATCTTCCGTGCATTAGGATTCAAAGTCCCTGGATCCCATAATCGGATATTCCCAGCTGCTATGCCAGGCGACACCCCAAAACCAGTGTTCGATACGGTCAGAACATATTTCCAGGGTCTTATCCGAGACGCAGTCTTCTGCCTTCAACACCAGATGAAGCGATCAGACTCTCCTGAGTCTTTTTCCAATGGCGACTATTTGTCCACAGCATCATACAGTTCGGAAGACAATTTGGCCCATGTCACCTCTGAAGGATTATTGAGTCCCCCAGACGCCCCGCCACAGGAGGTTGGCATTCTTCTGCACAATATGTGGAGTATGGGCCATTCAGATTCAGACATCATATCAGGTGATCTAGAGGACGAGTCAGGGTACAAGTCGGGGTACAAGTCCGGCTACCATACTGCAAACGAGTCATACGATTAAATCAGAAGGTGTGTTTTTGAATTCTGCAATCAGACTCCCATTTGACTGAGGACTTCTGCATGTTCAGTTATCATATACGTTTTCCTCTTTACTTTTGTATTACCTGATTTTACTATGTGATTGAGATTAAATGCCCTTAGTTTGAGGGGGTATAGTCATGAACTGTAACGGCACTAACACAGGACAACAGTCGGTAAAAAACTGAACCGCCCTCCGTCACGTAGCCAAATATATTTCTTTGCGTTTCTTCACAACCGTTCGCTTCAGTACAACAGCTACTACGTGCAACCA